GGTAATAAACAGTTCTTCCTTTACATATATTCTACGCATGTATTTAGAAAGTGGTAAATACCACTAATGTCTAAAAGTATCACAAATGCTCAAGGACTTCATCTCTATAAACTGGATTCCTTTTCAAGTAACCAGGAAAAATACGGGACTTAGTCTTAAAAATGATGGGGTTATATATTTCAGCAGAACAAGTTTGAGCTCATCTCTGCGTTTTCCCACATGTACGCAGAGGAAGGTACGCTGATCGTAAACCACTGTCAAGATGACAGCTTGCACCAAGCAGAATTTCCTATCAGTCATTTTGTTCTTATACAACTATTTATTGCATAATGGTACAAAGTTTAGCTACCTGCAGATACTGTGCTTGGAAATAATAAATATGTACACTTATGACCACAGTAATTATATGACCACTTATGACCTGTAATTATTTTTGTATGTGACATTAGCCCACTGTTTTTCTTGTACTTAATCTCAGAAAACAAGCTCATCAGCTTTTAATACTTGCTTTAGTACATATTTTTACAGTATTACAAAAGTGAAGTTATTTGTATAGCTTACAAAAGCATAAGAGATTGAAAAGGCAATAAGTAATTCTACAGACAGCAGATCTCTGGTGTCAATTTGCAACTTGGAAAATATAAAGGATTCACTCATTAATAAAAGCACTACTTGTAGAGACGCAAATTAAGAGAACAGATTTGTTTCTAGAAGAATACCTCCAGGTAGCAAAGGTATTTCATCTCTATAAGGAAAACAATGCAAATGGCTTTATTAGCCGGACAAACAAAATTCAATTTCCTATTGCTAAGATAATACTTAGTAATAAATGAGTGAAAAATTATTTTCAATACCTTTTCAAGGAAATAGGGTCAGCATTTATCTATTAACTTCATAATGTTAAAGGGGACAACGAATGTTCTCAGAAACTGATGCCTGCCAATGAACAAATTTTACAGAATGAGTTAAGACGCTTTGAAGTGAAGAATTTAAGCCCATAACCATCTAGCTCTATGTGCTCGGTCATATTTCCTGAAAAATTCAGCTATAACACAAGAAAAATAAGCTCCATAATTCTAATCTGTTTTCCTTTTTTTTAACTTTTCCTGGATAGCAAGAGTCCATATTGCAGTGTTTCATTTTTTGTAAAAATAAAATGCCAGCCATTACTAAGTGATTACTTATATGTGGAAGAAAACTGTGGCACCTAGCTGCCTAGCCCTTTTGAATTGGAAACAATGCAAACAGATAAAATACGGTCCAAGCATCAGATTTTATAGAATCAGAGTATAAGTAGAAGGTGGCTGCAGTAAAAGGAAGTGGGTGAACAAGGTAAAAAGGACATGATTATGAAGAGCATAGTAAGAAGTGTGGTCACAGCGTATCAGCTATCTAAAAAGTCTGTTTTGTGTGAGGTGCTTGGCAAAAATGATTTTTCTGAAGTGGTAAGAGGAAGGAGATTGTCCTGGCTGAGAGGATAGCTTTCACTGAAACAGACTATCTCAGCTTCATTGTAATGCAAGGGTTGGGAAACATCAAATTCGGGTTTTGTAAAGAGAAGGGAACAAGGCTACGAGGACAAATTTGAACAACCCTTCTTTCATTTTCCACTGGAGTGAGGGAAACATGCACTTCTAGTCTGCAGAAATATATGAAATGGAAACCAGACCAAATTTAAAGGAACAGGAGTTTCCCTTCAAGCCAGCCTGTGATATAGCTACTGGCTGGAAGTATTCTTCTTTATAATAATCAGTAAAGGTCATATCGAACAGCTGGTTGTTTACTGCTATCTCATTGTCTTTATCTATCAGCAAGTCGGGTAAAACTGAGGAAGCTAGCAAGGTTACAGCAGGATACTCTGAAAATACCTGCTCAACTATTACTAGGAAAACTAGGCCTCCATGTTGCTCCCTGCACTGAAGTTGCTCATACCTGAACAAATCTGTGCGAAAGATACGTCTTTGGCTGTTAAAGTCCCTGGTCTGCCAACTATGGGAGGTTGGAAGAGTATTTGTGTAAATATCACCGTCTGCTCATCACACTCTTGTACTCTGCTCGGGGCGTTTGTTGGTATCCGTTGCCGTGTCTTCCATTTTTGGAGGCGCCACTAGTTCTAGGTCAGTGAGGGAAGCGGATGAAACAAGCTTCTAGTCCATCTCTCAATGCAATATAAAGTCCATTTAAATCAATTTAGTATAAAACCAATTGAATATAAAGTCCTCAAGCTGGGGATATATCAGATATTAAACTGGGAAGAGAAGACGCTACGCTGAACCTCAGCTAGATCTTAATCTGTAGCATCATTCAGTAGCATAGTTAAGACCATGTTTCTGGTTAAGAAGCCAGAAGCTGGAATTTGGGTATGTGGGCTCTGCTTTTTGAAGCTATTCAAAAAAGGATGTGGATTTTGCTCAAAGACTGGATCTGCTTAATCATGAGGCTATAGAAGCATTGTAGCAATTTGTTAAATGTATAAACAGATGGAGGAGGCTCTCGGATCTGCCCTAAGATCTCTCTAGAGCTTTTTTTTTGGAGGGGGGGTATTGTTTTCTTTTAGAGTTTGGTATCATGATCATTTTAGATAGTACAAATATGAGCTGGAGTTAAAAAGGAGGGTTATACCACCACTTCTAGGCCAGTACACATAGCTTACGTGCCTCTGTCGTATTGGTACAAGTGTTCATGCAGTTCTCTGATCTAGCTGAAAAATACGAGCAGGAACACTTTGTTCGTTGATCTGTTTCACTATGCATGTGGGTACCTAGCTAAGAGATGTACTATGAAAACTCAGCAGTTGAAGACTGCTGAACTGCAGTGACTGCAGAAAGGCAGTGGGAAATGTAAGAATCTCCCAGTGAGTCTGTAATAGGATTTCTTTTGGTTTTAGAAGGAGGTGGAGAAGAAGGAAAGTTGCAGGAAATTTCAGTGGTAACAGTGAAGCCATTCTATTCAACAAAGTAGGGAAAAATCAAATCTATGCTAATGCAGTTGATGTTTACATTAGCGCTCAGAAGTTGGGGATGACTCAAATAAAGGATGACTGTGGTTAAAGCAGCAACGCCTGACTCAGGAAATCTGAGTGCATTTCCTGGCTTTGCTATCTCTTTAGCTTTGCGCAAGAGATTTAATCTCTCCCCACTTATTATTTTTTTCTTCCTGTACCACAGGGGAATAATTATACTTCCACATTGTTCTAAGAATAAATGTGACTGGAATATTCAGTTTCAGGCAAAAAGACATGTCAGAGCTTCATTGTTGTTCCTTATTTAAAAATAGGTCTTTTGTGCTATCCATGGGGCAGATGTACTGTAGCCTTCACATCACGTGTCTCAAAAGGTGCGGAGGCAGTGCTTGGGCTGACATCTGTAAGCAGTTCTTACACCCTTGGGCAGCCTGCCCAAATCCTAGTCAAGAGACTGCGGCAAATGATGCTTATCCATTACAGGGCTTTTCTTCTTCTGCAAGAGCACTGCTTGAAGCTATTGCATGACCTTTTTCCTCTGGGAGTTCTGATGTAGCAGGCATGCTAAAATTTAGAAAATATTGGCAGTGGAAACTCTGAAAACACTGAGAAAAATGATACTCAAATCTTAAGTGGATGCACAGAAATACAGATGCTGGCATGTGAAAACAATGCACATCTGAACAGCCCCAAGCACGCGAGGTGCTGAAACGCAGGCCCTAGGCATAAGCACGCAGATGCCTAGGCAAAGCATTGGGGTATAAACATTAACTCAGTTAAGTGACCCTGATAAAAGAAGTAATTTCAAGTGACTCTGGGCAAATAACTTTCTGAAGTTTGCAGAAGTTTCTGATATTGTCAGTGCTTTGTGATTTGTGGCACAAGTCCTACGCTTTTCATGTAGTTGGGACATTTGCAAGGTCTCTTTCCGTTGTGCATGGTCCGTAGTCCCAGCGCTAGGACACTTGTAGGCCTAACTACTACTTTTTTTTCAAATTGGTCTACGGGTCCCCGAATTGTTGGGGCAGACTGATAGACGCGGGCGGTGGTGCTGCACCCAGAGACATCGGCTCTGCCTGTGTCTCACGAGCCCAGCGTGAACCCAAGCGCCAAGGGCAGGACAGTTTGGGCAGCCCGGCGGGCAGCTGAGCAGGCGGGCGAGGTGACATGATAGCAGAGCCCCGGCGCTGCCCTCCGCCATGTCAAACGAGGACAAAGCTTCAGGGGCAAGGGGCGAGCGAAGGGGGGGTCCGGGGCTACGGCGATGTGAGCACGCCGGAGCCTCCCTGCACCCAGCTGGCAGGCACAGGGCCCCA